AATGTTCGAAGTTGTACTATAGGGCTTCCATGTAGTAGTACCCTACACCAAATAAATGTAAATGATTTAAAAAGCAGGTAAGATTGACGGGCCGAACTTTTGATACCCTCCATCCTTAGGGGAAAATATTTTATTTTTTATAATTTCTAGAGATATCAATCTAAGATGTCCATTTAAAATAACTAATTTGAAAAGTGTAATCCAAATAGATCCATTAAGGGAGATATACGATATCGAGGACCCATATAAAGAATTCTCTTTCAGGGATAAAGTATCCGAAATTATGTGCAGAATTACAGACAATTCCGTTCTGTGGCTATAATCACTAAAATACCGAGTATATGAGGGTACCGATATATGGGGGCTATACGATATCGTTAATCTATATAGACAGTTCTCTTTTGGGAAAAGCGGCTAAAATCGTCAAAATACGGAATATCTGGAGGTACCGTTATATGGGAACTATACGATATTGTGAACCGATATCTACAAACTGATCAAGATTATTTTTATACCCTCCACCATAGTATGGAGGGTATATTAAGTTTGTCATTCCGTTTATAACACCCCGAAATATACATTTTAGACCCCATAAAGTATATATATTCTTGATCAGCATAAAATGCTATGCCGATTTAACGACTTCTGTCCGTCTACCCGTCTGTGGAAATCAATCTAGCTTCCGAACGAATTGAAATAGATTGATAAAATTTTACTCAAATGTATATTATGTCTGCAGGACTTTTGGTCAATGTAAAATTTGGAGAAAATCGGTTCAGATATAGTTATAGCTCCCATATATATCTTTCATCCGATTTGGTGTTTAAGCCTCTCACATTCGTAATATGCACTCCACAAGAATGATATTTGGTACCAGATATAAGATACAGCCCAGAAATAGCTCTTTGTAATTTTATCGAAATCGGTTCAGATTTGGATATAGCTCCCATATATATTTTCATCCGATTTCGGGTTAATTGTGCACCAAATGGCCGATATAAGTCCAAATGGACTGAATTTTAGTACATCGGACCAAATTCAGCCTAGAAGCAAGTATATCAATTTTAGTGAAAATCGGTTCAGATATAGCTATAGCTCCCATATATATGTTTCATCCGATTTAGAGTTTTAGTCCCATACATTCGTAATATTCACTCCACAACCGTGATATTTGGTACCAGGTATTAGATGGAGCACAGGAATAGCTGTTTTAAATTTTATCGAAATCGGTTCAGATTTGGATATAGCTCTCATATATATCTTCATCCGATTTCGGGTTAAATGTGCACTAAATGGTCAATATCAGCCAAAATCACCAGTCTAGAAGCTAATACGTAAAATTTGGAGAAACCCGGTTCAGAGATAGCTATAGTTCGTAAAATGCACGATAGAATTAGATAGATTTTGATTTTGTACCAAATACCTCATAGAGCTCTGAAATGCCCTGTATAAACCTTTTTACGAGAGCTCTACTAAATATGCATAGTGGTGTAGGGTATCATATAGTCGGCCCCGCCCGACTTTTGAGCTTTCCTTACTGGTTTTTAACATACTTTTCGTACAGTTATATTTCCTTCTCTCCACCATAGGTACCATCAGTGTCCCCGATACTCAATATCAGTATTTCATCTCTATCCCCAACCAAAAATGACACACTTTGTGGCACACCAACAGTGACCTTTATGTGTAGTTTTCTATGATTACTAAATTTAGTGCAAATATAACTCGCATATCCAAAACCAGTTCGTTCTCTGAGCCATAGACACACCATAACATCTAAGGATTCCAGCCCTATTCATTCAGCCAATGCAAGATTTAGTACCATTTATTGATTTTTCGTACTAAAATAGGCCGTTTTTCGAAGCTACGAAATTTGGTACTATTTAGCACTTTTCGTGCAGCTATAGTACACATTTCCGAAACCACTTCCATATGCCCAGACTACACATAAACTGCGACTCTAATACCAAATTTAACATTTCAAACACTACCAAAGCCAGAACCAAATATAGTACAGTTTAGTACTTTTTCAAAAAAAAACTGCTTTGTCACAAACTTACCACCAACAGGGACCCCAAAACAAAATTTCAAAATTACAGCTTTAGCAAATCACCCTAAACCAAACTATTAACCAGTAAAGAAAGCTCAAAAGTCGGGCGGGGCCGACTATATGATACCCTACACCACTATGCATATTTAGTAGAGCTCTCGTAAAAAGGTTTATACAGGGCATTTCAGAGCTCTATGATATTTGGTACAAAATCAAAATCTATCTAATTCTATCGTGTATTTTACGAACTATAGCTATCTCTGAACCGGGTTTCTCCAAATTTTACGTATTAGCTTCTAGACTGAATTCGGTCTTATGTACGAAAATTCAGGTGATTTGGGCTGATATTGACCATTTAGTGCACATTTAACGCTAAATCGGATGAAGATATATATGGGAGCTATATCCAAATCTGAACCGATTTCGATAAAATTTAAAACAGCTATTCCTGTGCTCCATCTAATACCTGGTACCAAATATCACGGTTGTGGAGTGAATATTACGAATGTATGGGACTAAAACACTAAATCGGATGAAACATATATATGGTTGCTATATCTATATCTGAACCGATTTTCACTAAATTTGATATACTTGCTTCTAGGCTGAATTTGGTCCGATGTACTAAAATTCAGTCCATATGGACTTATATCGGCCGTTTGGTGCACAATTAACCCGAAATCGGATGAAGATATATATGGGAGCTATATCCAAATCTGAACCGATTTCGATAAAATTTAAAACAGCTATTTCTGTGCTCCATCTAATACCTGGTACCAAATATCACGGTTGGGGAGTGCATAGTAGGAATGTGAGGGACTTAAAGATCAAATCGGATGAAAGATATATATGGGAGCTATAGCTATATCTGAACCGATTTTCTCCAAATTTGATATACTTGCTTCTAGGCCGAACTCGGTTGGGTGTGCCAAAATTCAGGTAATTTGGACTGATAGTGGACATTTGGTGCTCATTTAACCCGAAATCGGATGAAGATATATATGGGAGCTATATCTAAATTTGATCCGATTCTCACCAGTTTCAATAGGGTTCGTCCTTGGGCCAAAAAAATATTGTTTGGAAAATTTCACATCAATCGGATAATAAATGCGACCTGCATTTTGTTCACAAGAATACATGGACAGACGGACGGACGGACGGACAGACGGACTGACATGCATAAATCGACTCAGAAAGTGATTCTATGAAGGTTCTCAAAAGTAACTATGGGTCTATCTCGTTTCCTTCTCCATGTTACAAACAAATGCACAAAAACATAATACCCTTACCACTATGTGGTGTAGGGTATAAAAATCGAAAAATCTATCTTATCATCCTTTAGCGAAACAATATTCGAAAGCTTTAAAATCAAAATCGATACTAAACGTATTTGAAAAATCAAAGACATGATTTTTTGGAAACAAATATTAATTTTTGTATTAGACTATATACCGCAGGGAAAATGGGAATTTAGGAAATAAGTGGGATGTAGTGAATGTTTAAAGTAGAATCTGCCTGTCAACCTGAGATAACTGGTTAACAAGGGTGTCAAGAATAGTTTTAACAAAAAACAAGCAAATTCAGCAAAGTTAGGCCGGACGGAACTTTTAATAGCCTCCACAATTTGGAAGGAACTTGAAAATTTTTAAAATATTTCGACGAAAAATACGGGTTAAATGAAAACCGTGATATGGGAGATATACGAATGCGAGGACCTGCATAAGTATTTTTTGTTGTTACAGGCTTCAGTTCCTATTACGAACTTTAGTTACGAAATTTCGTTAAAAAATGTCGCTAAAATCATTCAATTAGCGAACATAGGGGGGTACCGTTATTTGGGGGCTATACGATACCGTGGACATATATAGACAATTCTCATCCAGAGGATTAATTGCTCAGAAGGACTCGTCTGGTGTGTGGGAATATTCAGACAATTCAATTAAAACAAGTAAAAAACATTAAGTTCGGCCGGGCCGAACTTTTAATACACTCCACCTTAGGGTAAAGGAAATATTAGAAGAAATGTGGCAAAAAACATTAAAATGCTGAATATCGGGAGGTACCGTTATATGGGGGCCATACCAAATCGTGAACCTACACATGCAATGTTTTGCCAAAGGAGCTAGAACCCATTATGACCTACAAATACCAATTTTCAGATATATCCGTGAAAAACTGTGGCAAAAATCATCAAATTACAGAATATCGGGAGGTACCGTTACATGGGGGCTACCACACGAACTGGGACCCATTATGATCTACAACTACCAGTTTTTAGACATATCCGTGAAGAAAAGTGTCAAAAATCATCAAAATACCGAATATTGGGAGGTACCGTTATATGGGGACTATACCAAAACGTGGACCTATACATACAATGTTTCGCCATACGAACTAGGACCCATTCTGGCCCACAAATACCATTTTCAAAATCGGTGAAAAAATGTGGCAAAAATAATCAAAATACCGAATATCTTGAGGTACCTTTATATGGGGGCTATACCAAAACGTGGACCTATACATGCAATGTTTTGCCACACGCACAGGGACTCGTTATGACCTACAAATACCAACTTTCAGACAAATCCGAGAAAAAATGTGGCATAAATCATCAAAATTCCCAATATCGGGAGGTACCGTTATATAGGGACTATACCAGAACGTGGCCGATATATCACATTTTCAATACCAACCATCCTAGACACAATACAAATTGCTCTGCTAAATTTTGACGGACAGACAGACAGACATCTTTAAATCGACTTAGAATTTTATGCTGATTATGAATGTATATATATATTCTTTATGGGGTCTACGACGAATATTTAAGGATGTTACAAACGAAATGACAAAGTTAATATACCCTCCTTTCCAAGGTGGAGGGTAAATAAATAAACTTATGAAAATTCATATAATCAAAATTGATTTTGAATTACAAACACATATCCGCTTAAGATTTTCAATATCTTTATTACACTATCAAAGATATTTGTTTTTACATTTTTTTTAAGATTTATGTTGTTGCAATGTTTTGTTGTTTTCATATTTACAGTTAAAGAGTGAAGATAGAAGTTGGAGGATATAGGGCATAGTTGGGTGTAGAGTTTTGTGTTCTGTTCGCAGATGTTGTTGTTGTTGAGTATTGCCATTGTTCTGGGACTTGGTGTACAGGACTTGGGATGATGATGTTAGACATTGGACCCAGTAACGCCTCCTTCACCAGATGGTAAAAGTTGTGTGTGCTAGTCGGTTGTTGGTGTTGGAGGACGTGAGGAAACCGAAAGAAACTCCTTAGATGTGGAAAAACGGGATTGAAGTTGAAGCATAAAATAATGTAGCGCAGACTTTGTTAAATCGGTTTTATCAGTTCGAAATGCCAATGGTTATCTAGTGGGTTCCGGGAGCAGGGGCCAAGTTTACTGAGGTGGCTGAGTTGACATGACCAGCCAAGGGAGCGGTGTGAACGGCTCCACGGGTCTTAGCCACATAAACACCGGGTCCATGAGCAGCTGCGTGTCCAGGTCCTTGGCTCAATGAAATACCGGGATAACCACCCCAGGCACCATGACCGGCAGGGCCCCAGGCACCATGACCGGCTGGGCCCCAGAGGCCATGACCAGCAGGACCCAAAGGTCCAGCAATTCCACCCCACACACCGGCGGCATGGGCACCTGCCCATGGACCACCCCAAGGGCCAGCCCATGGAGCGGGTCCTGGCACAGCTGGTGCCACATATGAAACACCTGGTGCAACCTGAGCTGTTAACAACGATGACTGGACTTCGGCGGCAAGGGCCAACATGACTACGGCACAGACGAACTGGAAAAGCACACAGAAATTAAAAAGGATATCCAAGAAATATTTTTTCAAATTTCCAAAAATTACCTTCATGTTGTAGGATTTGAGGATAAGGATATAAACGTTGAAAATTAAACTGAAAGCAGTGTTCAGCGAATGCTTTGCAATGCGATTCTATGCTGCTAATTGAAAATGTGCTAACTTTTATACACAAAATCTCGCCTGCGATATAAAATATTTCTGACAGTTTTTTTGCTCTGCTTTTTATTTTTTGTTTGTTTTGTTTTGGCCACGCCAAAAATTAGAAAAACTACAAGAACAACTAAACTAAACAATTCAAAACTTTGGCCATTGTAATCAGAGTACCAAAACTTACATCTACCAACTCACACACACATCCACGACGTTATAGTACACGCCCGTTGTTGCAGCCGCACAAGTTGTAACAAATCAGAGGATAAGAGTTTCATGATTTGTTTGTTTTGCTTTTTGCTAAAATATTAAAAGTAACGTTCCTTCGCTTGTTGTCGGCACAAAACTCCTTTTTCCGTACATATATAATTGAAAGTTTAGCGGCCTTATGTAGGTACTTGCAACATTTTTTTTTTTTTTTTTTTGTGGAAATAAGTTTGAACTATTTTGCAACAACAAAATAGAAAATAAGTCCGTCTATTATTGGCCTGTTCAAAAACCTACAATAATCTACTAGTTCTGCTAATTTTTCGATATCCTAAACAGTAAACATTTATAAATTTTTCCAGAAAAGAACAGACCAGAGACATTTTCATACCCAATTTTGGGTATTCATTTAGAACGTGGCCCTTAAGAATAAATACATCAAAAATAAAGCTTACGGCCAGTCAAACTACCAGTTCTTGGTTTTTCACTTTTATTATTAGAGTAGTCTACACCTATAGATTTGTCGAACAATTTCAGGCGTTGTTTTTTAGATTAATAATTTAATAGTAAAATTCCTGTTATAACATGGTTTTGAAACCGCGTTAGAATTGAGACAACCAGCATTACTGTGAAATGCTCACGAGTAATGCAAATGTTTGTTACGGTTTCTTAATTTTTCTCTGAGATATACCTAAGCTGAATAAGTTTGGTGGTACTGTGATGAACCAGTTCAAATGAAATTCTACGTGCAGCATCTGCATTTCACACAGCAAAAAGTACATAATATCCGAAAATTGTAACAATTCCGTTTCAAACACAACCCTAATTAATTATACCCTCAGCCATATGTCTAGAGAGGGTATATATCATTTGATACGGCCCAAAACGTGCCCCATCGAAATAACTGTTTTAGACCCAAAACTGTTTGGAACAAATTCGTTTCAGGACATTTGGAGTCGATCAAGCGATGTCCGTCCCTCCGTCTGTCTGCCTGGCTGGTGCGCACGATAACTCTCGAAAGGACCATTCGCTTTGATCCAAACTTGGGACATCGTAATATTATTATAAAACTTAGATCGAGTTCGGAGATGGGCAATATCGGTCCGCTTCTACTAGCAACTCCCCACAAAAGGTCGACATTTAAAAAAAAAATATTTTACTGCACAGAAAGAAATACGACCAGTAAGGAAAGCTCAAAAGTCGGGCGGGGCCGACTATATGATACCCTACACCACTATGCATATTTAGTAGAGCTCTCGTAAAAAGGTTTATACAGGGCATTTCAGAGCTCTATGAGATATTTGGTACAAAATCAAAATCTATCTAATTCTATCGTGCATTTTACGAACTATAGCTATATCTGAACCGATTTTCACCAAGTTTGATGTATTTGATTCTAGGCTGAATTCGGTCAGATTTGCCAAAACCCAGGACATTTGGGCTGATATTGGACATTTGGTGCGCAATCAACACGAAATTGGATGAAGATATATAGGAGGTATATCCAAATCTGAACCGATATTTGTAAAACTGAAAAAGAAGATATTTCTTGCCTGCATCTGATACCAAATATTATTCTTGTATCGTACATTTTTCGAATTTGAGGGACTTAAAGTACAAATCGGATGAAAGGTATATATAGGAGCTATAGCTGTATCCGACCGATTTTCACTAAATTTGATGTACCAATATTAGCCATTTGCTGCACATTTAATCCGAAATCGGATGAAGATATATTTGGGAGCTATAGCTATATCTGAAACGACTTTTACTAAAATTGGTGTCCTTGCTTCTAGGCTGAATTTGGCCAGATATGCCAAAATTCATGCCATTTCGGTTGATATTGGCCATTTGTTGCACAATTAACTCGAAATCGAATGAAGATACATATGGGTGCTATATCCAAATCTGAACAGATTTTGAGAAAATTAAAAGCGACTACTTTTGGGCTTTATCTGATATCTGGTACCAAATATCATTCCTGTGAAGAGTATATTACGAATGTAAGGGACTTAAAGAGCAAATCGGATGAAACATATTTATCGAGCTAGAGCTATATCTGAACCGATTTTTACTAAAATGTGTGTACTTCCTTATAGGCTGGTTTCGGTCGGATTTGCCAAAATTCATGCCATTTGGGCTGATATTGGCCATTTGATGCACAATTAACACGAAATCGGATGAAGATATATATGGGAGGCATATCCAAATCGGAACAGATTTTAATAAAATTAAAATCAACTATTTTTGGGCTTTATCTGATAACTGGTACCAAATATCATTTCTGTGGAGTGCATATTACGAATGTGAGGGATTTAAAGACGAAATCGGATGAAACATATATATGGGAGCTATAGCTATATCTGAACCGATTTTTACTAAAATTGGTGTACTTGCTTCTAAGCTGGTTTCGGTCGGATTTGCCAAAATTGATGCTATTACGGCCATTTGGTGGTCAATAACCCGAAATCGGATGAAGATATATGGGAGCTATATCCAAATCTGAACCGATTTCGATAAAATTTAAAACAGCTATTCCTGTGCTCCATCTAATACCTGGTACCAAATATCACGGTTGTGGAGTGAATATTACGAATGTATGGGACTAAAACACTAAATCGGATGAAACATATATATGGTTGCTATATCTATATCTGAACCGATTTTCACTAAATTTGATATACTTGCTTCTAGGCTGAATTTGGTCCGATGTACTAAAATTCAGTCCATATGGACTTATATCGGCCGTTTGGTGCACAATTAACCCGAAATCGGATGAAGATATATATGGGAGCTATATCCAAATCTGAACCGATTTCGATAAAATTTAAAACAGCTATTTCTGTGCTCCATCTAATACCTGGTACCAAATATCACGGTTGTGGAGTGCATAGTAGGAATGTGAGGGACTTAAAGATCAAATCGGATGAAAGATATATATGGGAGCTATAGCTATATCTGAACCGATTTTCACTAAATTTGATGTACTTGCTTCTAGGCTGAATTTGGTCCGATGTACTAAAATTCAGTACATTTGGGCTTATATCGGCCATTTGGAGCACAATTAACCCGAAATCGGATGAAGATATATATGGGAGCTATATCCAAATCTGAACCGATTTTCTCCAAATTTGTTGTATTTACTTTAAGGCTAATCTCGGTCACATGTGCCAAAATTCGGGCCATTTGGGCTGATATTGGCCATTTGGTGGTCAATTAACCCGAAATCGGATGAAGATATATATGGGAGCTATATCCAAATCTGAACCGATTTCGATAAAATTTAAAACAGCTATTTCTGTGCTCCATCTAATACCTGGTACCAAATATCACGGTTGTGGAGTGAATATTACGAATGTATGGGACTAAAACACTAAATCGGATGAAACATATATATGGTTGCTATATCTATATCTGAACCGATTTTCACTAAATTTGATATACTTGCTTCTAGGCTGAATTTGGTCCGATGTACTAAAATTCAGTCCATATGGACTTATATCGGCCGTTTGGTGCACAATTAACCCGAAATCGGATGAAGATATATATGGGAGCTATATCCAAATCTGAACCGATTTCGATAAAATTTAAAACAGCTATTTCTGTGCTCCATCTAATACCTGGTACCAAATATCACGGTTGTGGAGTGCATAGTAGGAATGTGAGGGACTTAAAGATCAAATCGGATGAAAGATATATATGGGAGCTATAGCTATATCTGAACCGATTTTCACTAAATTTGATGTACTTGCTTCTAGGCTGAATTTGGTCCGATGTACTAAAATTCAGTACATTTGGGCTTATATCGGCCATTTGGAGCACAATTAACCCGAAATCGGATGAAGATATATATGGGAGCTATATCCAAATCTGAACCGATTTTCTCCAAATTTGTTGTATTTACTTTAAGGCTAATCTCGGTCACATGTGCCAAAATTCGGGCCATTTGGGCTGATATTGGCCATTTGGTGGTCAATTAACCCGAAATCGGATGAAGATATATATGGGAGCTATATCCAAATCTGAACCGATTTCGATAAAATTTAAAACAGCTATTTCTGTGCTCCATATAATACCTGGTACCAAATATCACGGTTGTGGAGTGCATAGTAGGAATGTGAGGGACTTAAAGATCAAATCGGATGAAAGATATATATGGGAGCTATAGCTATATCTGAACCGATTTTCACTAAATTTGATGTACTTGCTTCTAGGCTGAATTTGGTCCGATGTACTAAAATTCAGTACATTTGGGCTTATATCGGCCATTTGGAGCACAATTAACCCGAAATCGGATGAAGATATATATGGGAGCTATATCCAAATCTGAACCGATTTTCTCCAAATTTGTTGTATTTGCTTTAAGGCTAATCTCGGTCACATGTGCCAAAATTCGGGCCATTTGGGCTGATATTGGCCATTTGGTGGTCAATTAACCCGAAATCGGATGAAGATATATATGGGAGCTATATCCAAATCTGAACCGATTTCGATAAAATTTAAAACAGCTATTTCTGTGCTCCATCTAATACCTGGTACCAAATATCACGGTTGTGGAATGCATAGTAGGAATGTGAGGGACTTAAAGATCAAATCGGATGAAAGATATATATGGGAGCTATAGCTATATCTGAACCGATTTTCTCCAAATTTTATATACTTGCTTCTAGGCCGAACCCGGTTGGGTGTGCCAAAATTCAGGTAATTTGGACTGATAGTGGACATTTGGTGCTCATTTAACCCGAAATCGGATGAAGATATAT